ATAAAATTTCATCACATACTAATTTCTAAATAGTCTTCCAAACTACATTCCATTTAGACATTTTATTTATGATGAACAAAGTAACAACTAATCTTCTAAGTTCATTTTTAATAGCAAACTCACTTGCTTTTTTATTGCATTAAAAAATTCCTTTTCATATGCTAGTAACCCCAAAGCATAGCAAACTTCTTCGTATGTTTCAAATGTTTGTTAGTTAATGGTATGGATATTGTAATCAAAATGATAATTTAAAATTGCTAAAAGTCTTTAATGACATTCGACTTTCCCCTTCTTTCTTTTCACATTAAAAAGAAACCCATTTAGCAATTTTGTTCCAAATGAGCTCTTCAATAATCATAGTAAAAAGTAAATAACTTGAAACAAACATAACATAAAAGTACAAACAATTACGGTTTAATATTAAACTATGTATCAAATCCTAACATTTACACATAGCAACAATTAAGGATTTAATGGACTGATAAAAGAGTACATTAATCAATAATGAAAGGGTTTAATGGACTAACAAAATAGTACATTAATCAATAATGAAAGAATATCTACACTTGATTGAATATGGTTTAAAACCTTAATTGGTCTTCGTATTTGTTTTAACATATCAATTAAGTTATAAAATTTTAATTGGTCTCAATTAGGTTCTGATAAATGTGATGCAATTTGATTATTTTCGTTAGTACAATACTAACGATATTAATTTGTGTCACATGCAAGTTCATGAATTTTTTTAATTAATTAATTTGTTTTGAAAAATTATCACTGAGTCCAATGAGGATTCCACTACATGGTAGAGAAAGTGTGATGTGGTAGTGGAAAAGTCACGTGTCATTATGATGTGAAAAATCTCAATTTAGTTCTTTTATTTATATTTTGACTCAATCAAGTTCTAATTTTCTTTTTAAACTAGAGAAATTTCATCGTCAAATTTAACTTTTATATGAATGTTATAATTGTTATAATGATATTTTTATTAAAATTTATATTTTTAATAATATTTTTAACTAGATTAAGCTTATTCAAATTTATATTTTACATTAGAATTTATTTAAATTTTGTTTTAAAATTTTAAATATATTTATTTTAAATTGTTTTAAAACTTTTTAAAAAATTTATATTTGAATTTATAAAATTGTTGTTTTTAAACCAACTCTAACATTTGTACAGAAATTATTGATATATAAATATTTAAAACGAAATTTAAATAAAATTCAATGTAAAATATAAATTTTAATACTTAATATTCTTAAAAATATTTAATAAAAATATTATTATAACAAGTTAAATTTGAAGAGTGGCTAAATTTCTCAATTTTAAAAGAAATTAAAATTAAATTGAGACAAAAATAATACATGTAAGAATCAAATTAATATTTTTTATATGATAATTATCCTAATAGTGACACACGTTACCTTGTGGGTAGAACTCTCTTTGACCTGTAATAATTTAAAATAATAAAAATATAATTGAAACAAAATTAAAATTAAAAAAAGAAAAACTCACACGTCACACACAAATTAACATATTAGTGTTGTTATAAGAAACATAAAAATATAATTTAAAAATAAATAAAATTAAAAATAGAAAAATACAAATTCACAAGTCACACATAGAAAAATTAAACAAAACCGAAAACTAACTGAAAATTTTAAATTTGAATTATACTTTTGTTCTGTCAATTTTTTTTTACCTTCTCTCTATTTATATTTCACTTTTCAAATAAATTAAATTTCAATTAAGACTCACTGAATATTAACTACTTTTATATAAAAAAGAAAGGAAAATGCTTCATTAAGAACGTTTTTTTGACACAATTTTGACAACGCCACGTAACAGTTTTGACAACGTCATGTGACGGTTGTCCATTGGCTGATGTTTAAAAAAATAAATTAATATGTAATTGATTAGGCAAGGGTATTATGGGAAGAAAAAAATACGAAATTTCATTTTGCGCTTTCACTTCTTCTTTCAGTTGCATTTCGTAGTTTCACTTTCGCCTGACCTCTCTTGTTCCCTCATCTCTCTTAGTTCTCTTATCTTTCTGGTGTTCAAAGACTAACCTTCTCGCTAAACTCTAAAGACTCACCTTCTCGCTGTCTTGGACGTCCGTCTTCTGCAGCATTGAAGCCCTGTTCGACGTCGCTGTCAACCATTTGTATTGTGCCTTATCATTGTCGTGGTGTTTTTTGGTAAGTAGAACTGCGCAAACCCTAACCATCTTCTCCAGCATTGAGGTTTTCTACTTTCGCGCGAAGCATAACCATCTTCTCCAACATTGACGTTTTCTTCTTTCGTGAACCCTAACCATCTTCTCGACCATTGTTTTTTTGTTGATGTTATAATTGTAGGTCCAATGACAACCTTCTTCTTCGTCTCTCTCCACCATTTTTACTTTGTCTGAAGCATTGCTTTCACTCTCACGGGTCTTCCTCTCGGTCGAAAGAAATTTTTCACTCTAGTTAGAACTTGTACATGCTTTTGATATACAAAAGATCGTGATTATAAATGTTGGGTAATATGTACTGATAATATATTATATGAATAAAATTTCAATTTTGATCTAGAACCATACGTTCTATACTAGTGTTGTTCGACCATATATATTGAAACTTTTATTTGGTTATGGGTGTTTGGTACAAAAATCGATTCTGTAAGCGACCTTGACAGGCCTGAGTGTTGGTGCCTAAGAAAAAGATCTAATTCAATTGAGTGTTGGTGCCTAAAAAAAGAATCACATCACACAAGTGCCTAAAAAAAGATCAAATTCAATTACGTAAAACGTCTTTGGCTATTTATGTGCCCATAGTTGGCTCCTACAGCACAAGCTTTCGTACAAAACCAGATTTTTGTTTGTGTAATCGTTTATAGGGTCCTTATAATCGATTACAATGGCCAAAAAGGCCTACACTTGATTACCAAGGCATAATTTGAAAGGTCTTTGAGTCTAGATTCAAACAAAACAAGAATCAACTCATTCGTAGTTCCGTGGAGAAAGTTATGAGCAAAACAACCAGCAAAGGTCAAAGTTGGCAAGAATATATAAAGCGTTAACTTTAAGGAATAAACTGTACCTACACAGACGTCCAACATTTACAAATTAGTAGTCATTGGAAAGATTTTTGAGTCTAGATTCTAATAAAAAAAGAATCACATCATTTAGAGGTCGGTGGGAAAAATTATCATTAAAATAGCAAGCAAAGGTCAAAGTTGACAACATGTTAACTTGGTCATGACACCAACATTGGGTCTTTCCTCCACCAAAGACTGTCCAAAACCCAGTTTTTAGGCTCTACTCACACTTAAACATTAAAAATAACTCTCATCCGTTCAAGAAATATGAAAAAATAAAGTAAATTTTTTTGGCTACTTATGTGCTCACAGTTGGCTCCTGCAGCACAAGTTTTTGTACAAAACCATATTTTTGTTCGTGTAATCGTTTACAAGGTCCTTGTAATCGATTACAATAGCCAAAAAGACCTAAACTTGATTAACAAGGAATAATTTGAAAGGTATTTGAGTCTATATTCCAACGAAACAAGAATCAACTCATTTGGAGTTCGGTGGAGGAAGTTATGAGCAAAAGAACCAGCAAAGGTCAGAGTTGGCAGGAATATAAAGCGTTAACTTTAAGGAATAAACTATACCTACTCAGATGTCCAAAAATTACACATTAGTAGTCATTTTAAAGGTTTTTTAGTCTAGTTTATAATAAAAACAAATTACATCATTTGGAGGTCGGTGGGAAAAGTTATCATTAAAATAGCTAGCAAAGGTCAAAGTTGACAGCAAAATTGTTTCTTATGTCCAACATGGGGTGCCTAAACATGACTTCTCACACTAAAATCACACTTAAACAACAAAATCACACCAAAACCATTGGATTTATGCCAAAAAATTAATAATTTATACTATGGTCACCTATGTTTCCACAGTTGGCTCCTACCGTACAAGTTTCTGTATAAATCCCACTTTTTGTTTCTGTAATCGTTTACCAAGGAGTTGTAATCGATTACAAGTGTGTTTTTTTGGTCAGAAGTTGCAGGGCTTCATCTAACTTGTTCAACTCAACAAAATTGTTTCTTATGTCCAACATGGGGTGGCCAAACATGACTTCCACACTAAAATCACACTTAACCAACAAAATCACACCAAAACCATTGGATTTATACCAAAAGTATAAAAATTTAGACTATGGTTACCTATGTTACCACAACTGGCTCCTACAGTACAAGTTTTTGTACGAATCCCACTTTTTGTTTGTGTAATCATTTACTAAGGAGTTGTAATCGATTACGAGTATGTTTTTTGGTGCAGACCCTTCCCCACTTCTGCTAATTGCATCATCTCACAAGCATTGTTTCATTCCTCCATCAAATACATGAATACTAAATCAAAGTGGCCACTTTATTCATTAACAATTCAAACAAAATGCCTCATTTCACAATGACAATAACAAAGGAAATTCAATTAACATTAATAATATGTAACGCAAGCAAACATGAATCTTCTATAACATTGAACAAAATATTTTCAAAATTACAAACATTTGTTCATGTATGTACAATTTTGTATTACTTTCTCTTAATAAATCTATACAAATATCACTCATATTTTATTCTAACAAATCCAGTGTAAGGAGTCCTAAGCACTCTGCTCTTGTAACGCCTTCATGACCCAATCCTCACATAAGTCTTCACTGAAGGTGGATTGATGGACATGCCTCCCGGGAGAAAAAATCCAGTGTTCATGGACGGTTCTTCATGTGGTGCACTTTGTCCACCATCATCTTTATTTCTTCTTCTAGCTTTCTCTTTGGCCAACTGCGCCTCCAACACAACAACCTTCCTTTTAAGTTCTGCAATTAGATTTTCTTGCTTGCCTAAAGCACGCATAAATGGGAAGTAGGAACCTATTTCACTGAGAAAAAGGAATTCACAGAGGCCATTAGGACTTATGCACTAAGTAATGGTAGAAATTTAAAATTCATGAAGAATGACAAGAAGAAGGTTATTGTGAAATGTTTGGGGGGCAAAGGGAAATGCAAATGGTATGCTTATTGTGCCTATAGGTCTGGTGCCAAGTCATGGAAGCTAAGAAAAGTGATTGATGATCACAACTGTAGTATAGATTTCAATGTGAAGTTGAGGACTTCTAAGTGGTTGAGTCAAAGGATGGAAACATATGTCAGAGAGAACCCTAATATGAAGGTCATGGACATTAGGGACAAAGTAAGTAGGAAATGGAATGTAGGAATCTCTAGAAATATGGCTTTTAGGGCAAGAGCCATGACAAAAGATAATATTGAGGGGTCATTCAAGGAACAATATAGAAGAATCTATGATTATGGTCATGAGCTTCTCAGAGAAAATACAGGTTTAACAGTCAAAATAAAGGATGAAAATAGTGATGATGAGTGTATATTCAATAGAATTTATGTATGCTTGAAAGCATGCAAAGATAGCTTCATTAGTTGTAGACCCATCATTGGCTTGGATGGATGCTTTTTGAAAGGCAAGTATGGAGGGGAGTTACTAACAGCAGTTGGAAGAGATGGAAATGAACAAATTCTTCCTATTGCATATGTTGTTGTTGAGGTAGAAAACAAAGACTCTTGGACTTGGTTCTTGGAGCTTATCATTGCAGACCTTAGTGGGGAAGTTGTTTGTGGAGCATGTACATTTATTTCAAACCAAAAAAAGGTCAGTCAGTCAAAAGAAATATTAATTACAACCTATTTCACAACTAACTCAGCTGACTTCAGTATTTTAAATTGTAGGGTCTTTTGCCAGCTATTCAAGATCTTCTACCTAGGGTAGAACAAAGATTTTGTGTTAGACATTTGTATTCAAACTTCAAAAAGAAATATCCTGGAAAAGACCTTAAATGTCTGATGTGGAGGGCAGCAACAGCCACATACCCCCAACTATGGGAGGCTGAAATGAGGAAAATTAAAGAGATCAATGTAGAGGTATTTAAATACTTGATTGCAATTCCACCTAGGTATGTATTCACTTTTCTCCATATCTTATTCTTCATTTACAATTATATTTACTGTGGCAGTTATATTTACTGACATTTAAATCTCCCGGGTTTTGGTCAAGATCTAGATTCACCCCTACATCACAATTTGACACTCTTGTCAACATGTGTGAGGGCTTCAATAGTGTGCTAGTTCGTAGTAGGTCTAAGCCAATTATCACCATGTTAGAAGACATTAGGGTTTACATCATGAAGAGATGGGCTACGAACAGGACAAAGATGGCATTATATCAAGGTTTTGTCTGCCCTAAGGTTCTCAACAGATTTCAAAAGCAGTCATGGTTAACCAGATATTGGTTACCTTTACTCTTACAATTAATTTGTGTTCATCATTAAGAAGAGCTTGTTGCTAACTATGTTGTCTTTTTCTACTCATGATAGATGGTCATCACATCAATTATTTGAAGTCATACACATTTCACAATTTGGGGAGCAATTTGTTGTCAATCTTGACAACAAGGACTGCAGTTGTAGAAAATGGTTAATTACTGGCATTCCTTGCACTCACACAATAAACGCAATGAAATTCTAGAATTTAAATGCAAAAGACTACATTGGGCATTGGTTTAGGAAGTCTACTTATGAAGAGACCTACAACAACATCATTTATCCTATTAATGGTCAACTTGTCTGAGAAATAACTTCATATCCAAATGTATTACCCCCAAAGAAGAGGACAATGCCAGGAAGGCCCAAGAAAAAACGAAGACTAGAGGCTTGGGAGTTGAAGAAGAATGACACTAAATTAAGAAAGGGTGAGACCAAAAAAACATGTGCTCTATGAAAAGAACTTGGAAACAACAAAAGAACTTGTCCACAACGACCTACAACACCAGATGTGCCTCCTGACCAACCTAGTGAACAAACAGGAGTCACAATACCTCCACCAACAACAAATGTGTCTGCTAACCAACCTACTCAACAAACACAACTCACAATACCTCCACCAACAGATGTTCCTATTACTCAGGAGTTTTGTGTCTCCTTTTGATCAATGAAGTCATATTTAATTCCATTGTCTTTTAGATGTCATGTAATCTGTACTGATGAAGGAACAATGTAATATTAGTTTTTTTTGGTGAAATTTGTACTGATGAAAGACAGATGTTATCAGGTTTTCTTTTGCTATAATTTGTACTGATGAAGTAATATCGGTTTTCTTTTGTTATGTTATGCACTGAGTAAGACAAAGTTTCTATCAGGTTTTTCTGTTATATGATAATGAAAGACAATGTTTATTCATGTGGTGATCATATGTTTATGATGGTTATTGATCATTGCTTTATGATGTTACTTTTGCACTTTCTTTAACTTATTCTGTCCATATGAAATTAAATAAATCAAATAAGACAGTATTAAACATCATTAGAAGTCACCTTTATAAATAAAACAGATAATAACATTCCAAATATCAAATTACATTACAAAAACTTCCACTAAGAAATCAACCTACTTTCATCAACATTGATATCACAATTACATTACAAACACATGTAACAAACATCATCCCCATTAACACCTTCATCCACTTCTCCAAAATAACTACACTTTTCTCCAAACAACCTATTTTCAGCTTTTCAACATCTCTTTCTTACATCTTCATCAAACTTTGTTCCATCTTCATCAAACTTCCACTCACTTCTTCATTTCTTGCACTTGCACTTGCATTAGTGTCTACATTCACCACATTTTGTTCATCAATTACTTCTACATTCACCATTGAAAGAAGTTTCATCAATCACTCCCACCTGTGGAAGAAGAAAACGATGATGATGGCAACAAAATCAAAACTCCCATCCTGTGGAAAAACAAAACCACATAAAAGTCACATTTCTGCTTCCATTAAACTTACCTTGAAGTTAGGGCAACCCCAAAATCTTTTGTCCTTGTTATTAGGGGTTCTGGCAATGAGAAAGACTACAGGCTGACCACAAAAGCAAGTGGGTTTTACACTCCTTCTGCTCCCACTGGCAGAACTGTGTTGAAAGCCCCAACCCGTGCATTTGCAAGAAGAAGATGAACCAAACATTTCGTGAGCTGAATAGTGCTTCCAGAACTCTTCCTCCCCAACACAAACATGTCTAACACTTTCGAAGTCAAGATTGCTTTAAATGAAAAAAATTAGGGCTAACAACATAACACGTGTTTGCCATGTGGAATGCTTCATTATACAATAGAACACCCATCTAATTTAATATACATTGCCTCGTCAACTAAAATAAATTACAACTTAGCATCAGTAGATGACGTAAGTGATAAATTAACGGAGAGGGCTTAATTGGTTCATTTTTACAAGTTTTTGGACCCGATTGAGACCGAAAAAAAAACGATAACCCACTTGAGATTGCCACACAAATACGAGGACCAAATGATGGTTTAAACCTAACATCTTCACATTCTTCAAATGAAAAAGATAGTTTTAATTAATTAGAAAAACATTTATTTGACAAAATTTTGACACTATTTTTAATAATATAATAATATGTATTATGATTTTAAATTAAAAAAATAATATAATAATAATCAGAATATTATTATTTAACCGTATCAAATAAACGTAATTTATCGATGTGTTGTGTTAAAGTAACTGCTCTTCTTTAAATAATAAAGTATTAATGCCTCACATCAAGACGGTGACGAAGGTGATGTAACCCCTTTGTTTGTGATTGACAAAACCAACATGTTTAGTGACCATACATTACACGTGGGTTGTCTACTCCAAAACCTTACCTATGTCGATTAAATGACATGACTGGTTCCCAGTTCATGTACAACTAGGAAATGTAAAAAAAAAAATCATTAAATACTTCGGTTTTCGTGTATTATGTCCTATCTTATTTATTTTAAAAAATAAACTAACAAATATTAAAAAACAATTATCTGTTCAAACTTCTTAACTGTTTCTTTTAAATAAAAAAGTACGTAACTATAATTGAGAAATTAAGTAAAAGTAATGCGTTCTAAAAAAATTAATTAAATGAATAAGTTAAAAGTAATTAAAATGTATCATATTAATAGATATAATATTAATAAGTACGAAGATAATATTAATAGATGAGTATAAATCAAATGAAAAATAAAATTTCATTATCATGTAAAAGATGTGTTGAACATCGGAAAATATTATTTGATAAATTTGTTAAGATATGAAAAGGAGTTCAATAGGGTTAAAAATCACTTAACAAACTCTTTCGAAGATAGCTATTAATTCTAGTTTATAATGAGAATAGGAAGTTACTTTTTGCTATTTGAATACACAAGATGTTTTTAAATTAAATACATAAAGTATCTTTACATTTGCATTTCTTCTAAGTTTAAAAACCAACACATTGATAACATTTTTTGCGAATGTATAAAACACAATAAATACAAAATATATAAAGTGACACATGATATTTATAAAATAAATTCTTAACATCAATGACATCTTATAGAAACATCAAGATATCATAAAGAAATTACAAGAAACAAATTCTTAACAAATACAAGTTGGGAGAAATGCGGGTGAATATAACACAAATTTCTCTTTTCATGACTGAATGATCATCTAAAATTTCACAAATAATGTTTCAAGAACTTGTTATTAGCTTAATAATAACTCTCCAAAAAGTAGACAAACTTCTAAATTTTTTGCTCAAAAAAACCATGTTGAAAGAAGTCAGAATGAGGAAGTTATATTAATTTTAACTTGTCAAAAGTAATGGATTAAAACTACGTTTTAACAAACCAAAATAGAATAGCTTAAAACCTTTTGAAAGCATATAAATGTTAATTGATTAAAATGAATATCTAATCTATTAGAATGTTCTTTTTAAACAAATATGAACCTTCTAACAAATTAAATAACATCTTTTAATCAATTAAAATTCTCTTATTATTATTCTAAAACAAATTCAAAGTTTCTAAAAATATTTACAAAATTAAAGTATTTCAAGAGAAATTAACAAATACAATCTAATCAGGAACACTCTCTAAACATCTAAGTCCTTAATTTTCAAAACAAAATGAGGTTGGATTCATCAAATATCATACAGCAATGCATAACAACAATCTTAACAATCTCTTTGATGAAGACAATCATTTGATGTAGAGACAATCTTCCGATGTAGTGTGTTAATTAGAAATATCATAGTATTGATCTTACATCACAAAAACAAACACAACATAATCATACACTTACACATCCCCTTTCCCCGTTGTTTAATTAGGAAGAAGCTTGAAAAATAATTCTAGTATTAAAACATCATATAAAAGGTTCAAGGGAAAAAGTAAAATTACAAACAAAGTTCAAAACAACACAAAAGTAGTCAATATGTAAAATGCATGTAGATGCTCCTAATTTTCTACACCAAAATACAAATCAAGCATCAATTTATGAATCCCCCAACTTGATTGTTCAAGTAGTGAAACTTTGTTGCACATAACTCATGATATGCTCTCAAATTAGCAACCATTGTATCCATTCTAGTAAGCATAATTGGTTCAAATTGTGAGAGAGGGACTCTTCATTCCATAAAAGGAATACATGGTATGATGTTTGTTATAATTGGATCATCAACATTCCCATTACTTGGTTCAACTTCATTAGGTGCGGTTGGTGCAATGCCATCTTTAAAAATTCAATTGTCATTTACCTCAGCAAAACCCATCTAGTGAAGAGTAACATTTGTGATTTCATTACTACTTTTGATTACCTCCTCTTTCAAGGCTAACTCCACATTATTTGAAAAATTTGGAGATTAGAACAACATAAGAAAATTGATAGTTTAGTAGGAGCTTAGACTTCAACATATAATCCTTGATCACATAATCCAATTTACTTTGATATTGTTCAGCATGCAATACATCATAACCAAATCATCTTCATTTAGTAAAGCATAATTGCTCCCCCTAGGTGTGATATGCCATGCAATGATGAAGGCAAAAATACGCTTCTCGAACTTGAGCCCACTAGCATGAAATCCTTTGACAACTTTTGTAGTTTTCTTCACGCATTGTTTGTAATACTTCACTTTTTTGAAGTTTTCAGCACCATTGATGTTCTCTTTACTAACTTGAACTCCTTCCTTCTTTAGACTGATGATGCTCTTCCAAACACTTAAAGTGATGTCAGTTTTTACACCTTTCAGTTTGGATTTCAATACATTTCCTACACTTAATATTTTTATATTGATTCATCTATAAACCTATACTACATTTGTTCTTGATTAACTTAATGAAGTTTCATTCAATAGACTATCACTCCTACCTAAGACTAAGTATTCTTTAAAACATAGTCACTCCTAATTAAGACTAAGTATTCTTTGGAAATAGTCATTCCTGGATAAGACCAGGTATTCCTTGGAACATAATCACTCTCTTGATAAATGTTTTTTTCAACACTCTTCTTCGAATAAATTTCTAAA